AAAACTGAAATAAAAAAAAAATTCATGAAACATGTCCTTCTTAGAATAAATCAATCTTTCAATATCTGCAATTTTTTTGAGAAGGTGAAAGTGCACTTCGGCACTCCTTATCCTTGAGCTATTTCTTAATTCCTGTCAAAATTTCAAAACCAGCATACACTGGACTATACAGTATTTGCAACGAAACTTGCCTAACATTTTTAAAAATGGTACCATATATTGGATTTAAGAGATTTCCTATTGTGAGTATTTTTAGAGATGTTTCAAAATATACAGGGTAGCTGTTAAAGATGGGACCAAACCTATAGTTCTTAAACGGTTCAACATACAAAACCCAAAATTTCAGATTTTCAACTAAATATATTTGCGCATATTTTAGCGCAAAAATTATTTTTTTTTATTATTACAAAATTTTAAGCATGGCCACCATCTTGATTTTTTTAAATAACATCATAGGTTATGTGTTATAACATTTGAAAGGGTTTAACACCCTGATTACAAAAATTTATCACACAGGGGGTCTAAACACAACAGAAAGGATATTATGAATAGGGAGCGTAGAAGGCTGTGCATTTGACACAAGACGTCAAATATTATAACAATAACATTTATTGCTAATGAAGTTGTGTTTAAACGCCATATGTGTGATACATTTTTGTAATCAGGGTGTTAAACCCTTTCAAATGGTATATCACATGACCCATGTTGCTATTTAAAAAAATCAAGATGGCGGCTATGCTTAAAATTTTATAATTAAAAAAAAATAATTTTTAGGCTAGAATATGCGCAAATATATTTAGTTAAAATTCTAAAATTTTGGGTTTTGTATGTTGAACCGCTTAAGCACTATAGATTTGGTTCCATCTTTAACAGCTACCCTGTATATCAAAATGTGACATACCCTGTATATAATTTTCGCTTTTATTTATACTAGAATATGTTTGAGAAGAATAAAAATGTTCAGTGAACATTGTATGACATCGTTTTAAATGACGAAAGCTATACTGGAAATAAAATAGTAAATAATTTTTATAAATTTAAATTTTAGAATTTTGTTAAGGTGTATTTATGAAATTGTATAAATAAATCTCACGAAAAAGAATTATTGTGGTTTTAATTTAGCCTCTAGATATATATATATACATACCTACATTTTTTTTGAATCCTAGAAAAGTGTCCTCGAGAATCTCACATTTTTGAACAAACTTCTTTTTTTTAGATGTTTAATTTTACTTCAATCAACGTCATGAAGTATTTAGGTAGGACCGACGATAGGGGGGCTGGCGGGACAAATTTTCGGGGCCCGGGCACAAAGAGGGGCCCGGCAGCGGCACGAATCAGGCCCGGCAGCTGTAGGTGAGGATGGTTTATTTTTTTAGAGCTTCGCCTCAAAAGGGAGGACTTGGTTTACAAAAAATACAAAGTGAGAACCTTTTTTTTTAAATTTCACTGAAAAATATATAAGTTTTGGCTTGAGTTTTTCGACTATTTAATAGGAATCAAATATCTTCGCTCCTAGACATAGAAATAAATTTTTCTTTTTACCATAAGTTAGGTACAAATACCACTTTAACGTGTTCTAAAGAGAACGATTTGCAAGAACAAATAGGGCGTCAATCAACTACAAAGGGGATTTTTCGAGTATTTAATAGGAATCAAATATCTCTACTCCTAGACATACAAACAACCACTACCTCTTTCTATTTAAAAAAATTAAAGGGGTGACTTTTACTCTGAAGGGGTTCAAGGGGGAGATAAATAATTTTGTTCAGAAAATGTCATTTTAGAAATAAAAATCGACTTGTTCAGGGATTTTCCTCAAAACGTAATAATAAAGCTATTAATTAATATAATCCACAAATATGTACAAATTTTTAGAAATAAACTTTTTTCTCGATTGCCTACACATACGCTACGCCCAATTTTTTTTGGGATTTACGTGGAGTATTGTTCAAAGCGCTATTAGGTTTGTTCCCGAAACGAGTTTCTAACATATTGAGTACAAAATAAATGTTCCAGCAGAGCAAAGTTCCAAACAAATTAAACTTGTTTAGTGTTTTCACAAGAATAAAAACTTGTTCATAACATGTTCGTTATTAGTTTTAATTGTTCTTAAATAAAATACGAACTTTTACTTTTGCGCATGCGTGCTTATTTAAAATCATTTTTCTTCTTTTCCTTCTTTGTTTTTAATTGGATTTTTGGTTAGTTTTGTTAATGATTATCTTCAATTTTGATTAAAATAAAAAAATATAATAAGGAGGATAGTTTTTATATGTGCAATTTTGAATTTATTATAAAGTATAACCTCAAAATCTCCTTTTTTAATAAATATAATCGAATGACCTGTATTTAGTTAAAACACAGCAATATTATTTTTTTAACATTCCAGCATACATTTATTCAGAATTCATTCCGAACATTATTCTGCTCACGCATGCGTATCAGATAATGTTTGTAACAAGTTTAGAACTTGCTTCGGGAACAAACCTATTGTGTCTACTTTAATATGTAAAAAAAATTACCTCGATAGCACGATTATTTTCAGAGATATAGCGATGGAGACGTTAAAAAACATGTATTATAAAAAAATCGATTTTTTTTTAAGTTCTCTCGAAATAAAAAAAGTTCTCGACCACCAAAAATTGTCGTCCAAAATTATTTCGTGTACCCGAGAACCTTATTAAAGAATTGCACTAAGTCTTGTTTGGTTCTACGCCGTTTTTTTTTTAAACTAAGCGACTTTACTTCCAAGTTTTACTCCGCTAAGCGTCATCTATTGGCAGTATCCATTTGAGTCCAATTATACTTCCATAAGGTGATACTACTAGTAATACAATGATTTAACTATATTATTCCCAGTTTCCTAATTTTCGTAAATCACAAAATTTTTATTCACAAAGATACCATGTCCTTATTACAGAAGTGGAATAAAACAATTTTAATCGCTCCACGAAGACTCTTCGGTTTCACAAACCACGTACTCACTAACACGTGGTAAACTAATATGAATTATTAATGCATTACTATAATTTCCATGTGAAGATACGGCACAGCGACCAAACTGCAAATTACACCTTTAGGCGTACGAGATACAAATAAATTATTCGTTTTGAAACAAAGTTTCGGTTTGCAACTTTGTTTACTTCTGTTTTGAAACAAAATAGGAGTAACCGAAACCCAGAACGTAAATATTTCACATATATACTCGAACTAGAACAAGTAAACATTTTGAAATAACATGTGAGGGTTGCGTTTATTCATTGGTGGATCATTGGAACATTATATAGACAAAGAATTTTTTTATAGTGGATAAAACATATTTTAAAAACAAGGTGGTCTGCATTGTAAAACAACTTGAATATAATTAGGCCAGTGACAATAAAATTAATATTTGCATATATTTTTCATTTAGGCTTCTGAACACTGGATGAAAAGTCACATACAGTGTGGTGATAAAGTAAGGAACAAAATTCATAATTGCATTATTTAATTTTTTGCTGTTTTTAATAGATAGTCCAATTACTGGTGTAACATCCCAAAAACAAACAAAATTCCATATTATTATTTAGGGTTAGTTGCCTTGCAGAATGGTGAGGATTTTCTTCAGCTTCGAGTAACACATTTAATCTGGTTTCATCGTTTACTGGAGGCCGACCTTGCCGAGGCAAATCATGGACGGATCCCTTTTCGGTAAATTTGGTAACCAATTTACTTACTGTAGATCTTACAATGGGCGATCTATGAGGGTGTTCTTGGTTGAATAATTCACATGTTTCCTGATGTGTTCTTAACTTATCACCATGTCCAACCATTAATAAAAGTTCTATTCTTTCCCGTTCAGTTAAACGTGGCATTTTTTGTTAACGATAAAGAGAATTTGCTCATAAAAAACTTGCTAAATACGCCTGGACTCCACTGAGTCTGCTGAGGGTGTACTCTAGGTGCACCCCAGGGCCGCAGAGTAGACTGCATGACCAAAACTGGCGCCTGGGCAACCTTTGTTCGAAGAACAGCCTGGCGCAACTCCAACCCTTTTCTTTATTTTTAGGGGTGAAGAAAAGGGGTGTTACAAAACTTACATTTTAAACTAGGAGCCCTAGTCCGATACCGATACAATGTCCTCTTTGAAATTAAATTATGGCTAAAAACAAATAAAATCATATTTTAATAAAATTATGTATAGGTAGTAACTAATATGTATATTTTATCAAAATTTTTTTCTCAAGGAAAATAGAGGTTATTGCGTATATTAAAGAAACCAGATGCGGATATATATTTTACAAATTAAAAGAAATGTAACACTGTATAAACTTGCAAATATACCAAGACACATAGTGTTTCTTTATATAAAATAACAAATATTTTCTTTACATGCAAAATCATATAAGTCGAACACTTAATAAAAGATTTCAGAAACAACCTTAAATGGCAAACAACACTAACAAATAAATAAATGGCATAAATGTTTGTTCTACGCCAGTAGCGTGACCCTGTCGTTACTAAGCGACGTAGGTAAACAAGACATAATTTGGTTTCTGCCACTGTCATTGTTGCAACTTCAAGTGGCTTTTTTCTCGCGAAACGATGACTAACAAAAATCTGAAGTAAGACACAAATATCTTTTAATACTAATTATTCAACCCCCTTCAAAGGAATATACCATTCTTATTATGTGTTTTTGGACATATGTTTATTCGGTAAACCATCAATAATTTTTGACGTACTATAAGCCTCAGAGAGTTAGTCAGGTTTTTATCAAACACCCTGTATAGGAACTTTGAACTTAATCTGCTGCTTAAAAAATAACTATTAGAATACATTTTTATTTTTAGATGATATAATATGGAGCTCACGAGTCGCACTTGGAAACAAACGTTTAAAAGTTTGATAATCAATATGTACTTACAATTTATATACCCTACCATTTTTATCTGAAATAATAACACACTATCCTTAATATATAAGGAACCAAAACTCCCAAAAATATCAAATCCAATATGGCTGACTCCAAAAACGATAAAAGTCTCGGTTATTCCAACAATTTCTTCGAGGCCAACGATGTTATAAAAATCGTACCCGGTTTATGGCGTCCCGGAAGTGACAAACCGCTATGGCTGCGCTTACTATACTTTTTCTACGTCAGTTTTATCTACTTCAACGGTTTCGCTTTCATCCTTTGTGAGTATCTGATTTTCAACGACATATTGAAAGATATACCGAAATTGTTAAGCTACATCGGTATGTGTTTAACACATACTTTGGGAGTATTCAAGATGGGTATATTCGTTTTTGGTCAGGAGAAAATCGATAAGATCATGACGAATTTGCAGCATGACGATTTTAAGTATGTGTCGTTGGATGAAAATGGACCCAGCGCGATGTTTTTGGAAGAGAAAAGAATTAGCAACCGAATAGCTTACTGGGTAATTATTCATGTTAATTCTTACGGAATTCCGTGTCTATTTATACATTTACAGGTTACTCTAAAATAAGAGGTGAATATTTTATAAAGGTGAAAATAAGGTAAAAAGTTGCTAAACATATATTCTAAAATGCCTTAGAATAAAATTCTCTGAAGATGGTTTTTGACAATATTTTTAAAACCTGTATCGATAAATTAATGTTCTGAGTGTGATAACTAGTTCAAAAACTTTATACTTCCAACTGGGACGTCACAACTAAAGGAGAGTGGTGTAAAAACGGACTAAGCTTTTTCATTATCTTTATTTAATTATTTTTGAGACCATACTTCTGTACCTGAGAGCCAAACTCAAAAAAAAAAATTTTACAGTTCCCAATGGGTCCTAGGATTAAACGTTTACGTTATCCGTAACGTACATGTTAGGCCAAGTTTTAACAGTAACGAGGCAAGTTCGTATGATGGAAAACCTTTTCCAACACATTACTGTTTTTTTCCGCTTATTATGTTCTAATTTAACAGATTTTCATCACACAAACTTGCCTCGTTACTTTTAAAATTCGGCCTAACATGTACGTTACGGATAACGTACATTTTTGCATAAAAATTTTTTCGTCTTCAATTTCGCTGAAATTTGGTACAAAGAATCAGGATATAAAACTAAATGTCAGAGTGGTGTCTGTTCAATATCGGCCTTAGTTCAAAAGTTGGAAAAAGTTGCTCCGATATGAACGAAATGATGTATACAGTAAGTAGAAAATAAGTACGTTGGAAGAAAGTTAGTTGCAGTACTCTAAGTTTGCTAATTATCACAAAATAAGCCTCTACTTTTTGACCATTTATGTTAGAGAGAAACGGACTATTTTTCTGAACGTTTTAGATCGCATACTATCCACTCTCCTATTTTCAGCTTAATCAAAGACCATGAATTTTTCGAGAAAAATCGAAAGACTATAGCCTTCAAAAATTTTTGCAATAAAATTTTTTCGTCTTTAATTTCGCTGAAATTTGGTACAGAGAATCAGGATGAAAAACTAAATGTCGGAGTGGTGTCTGTTACTCAATATCGGCCTTAGTTCAAAAGTTGGAAAAAGTTGCTCCGATATGGACGAAACGTTGCATACAGTAAGTAGAAAACAAGTACGTTCGAAGAAAGTTAGTTGCAGTACTCTAAGTTTGCTAATTATCACAAAATAAGCCTCTACTTTTTGACCATTTATGTTAGAGAGAAACGGACTATTTTTCTAAACGTTTTAGATCGCATACTATCCACTCTCCTATTTTCAGCTTAATAAAAGACCATGAATTTTTCGAGAAAAATCGAAAGACTATAGCCTTCAAAAATTTTTGCATAAAAATTTTTTCGTCTTCGATTTCGCTGAAATTTGGTACAAAGAATCAGGATATAAAACTAAATGTCGGAGTGGTGTCTGTTGTTCAATATCGGCCTTAGTTTAAAAGTAGGAAAAAGTTGCTCCGATATGGACGAAACGTTGCATACAGTAAGTAGAAAACAAGTACGTTCAAAGAGAGTTAGTTGCAGTACTCTAAGTTTGCTAATTATCACAAAATAAGCCTCTACTTTTTGACCATTTATGTTAGAGAGAAACGGACTATTTTTCTGAACGTTTTAGATCGCATACTATCCACTCTCCTATTTTCAGCTTAATCAAAGACCATGAATTTTTCGAGAAAAATCGAAAGACAGCCTTCAAAAATTTTTGCAATAAAATTTTTTCGTCTTTGATTTCGCTGAAATTTGGTACAGAGAATCAGGATGAAAAACTAAATGTCGGAGTGGTATCTGTTGTTCAATATCGGCCTTAGTTTAAAAGTTGAAAAAAGTTGCTCCGATATAGACGAAACGTTGCATACAGTAAGTAGAAAACAAGTACGTTCGAAGAAAGTTAGTTGCAGTACTCTAAGTTTGCTAATTATCACAAAATAAGCCTCTACTTTTTGACCATTTATGTTAGAGAGAAACGGACTATTTTTCTGAACGTTTTAGATCGCATACTATCCACTCTCCTATTTTCAGCTTAATAAAAGACCATGAATTTTTCGAGAAAAATCGAAAGACTATAGCCTTCAAAAATTTTTGCAATAAAATTTTTTCGTCTTTAATTTCGCTGAAATTTGGTACAGAGAATCAGGATGAAAAACTAAATGTCGGAGTGGTGTCTGTTACTCAATATCGGCCTTAGTTCAAAAGTTGAAAAAAGTTGCTCCGATATGGACGGAACGTTGCATACATTAAGTAGAAAACAAGTACGTTCGAAGAAAGTTAGTTGCAGTACTCTAAGTTTGCTTATTATCACAAAATAAGCCTCTACTTCTTGACCATTTATGTTAGAGAGAAACGGACTATTTTTCTGAACGTTTTAGATCGCATACTATCCACTCTCCTATTTGCAGCTTAATCAAAGACCATGAATTTTTCGAGAAAAATCGAAAGACAGCCTTCAAAAATTTTTGCAATAAAATTTTTTCGTCTTTGATTTCGCTGAAATTTGGTACAGAGAATCAGGATGAAAAACTAAATGTCGGAGTGGTATCTGTTGTTCAATATCGGCCTTAGTTTAAAAGTTGAAAAAAGTTGCTCCGATATAGACGAAACGTTGCATACAGTAAGTAGAAAACAAGTACATTCGAAGAAAGTTAGTTGCAGTACTCTAAGTTTGCTAATTATCACAAAATAAGCCTCTACTTCTTGACCATTTATGTTAGAGAGAAACGGACTATTTTTCTAAACGTTTTAGATCGCATACTATCCACTCTCCTATTTTCAGCATAATAAAAGACCATGAATTTTTCGAGAAAAATCGAAAGACTATAGCCTTCAATAATTTTTGCAATAAAATTTTTTCGTCTTTAATTTCGCTGAAATTTGGTACAGAGAATCAGGATGAAAAACTAAATGTCGGAGTGGTGTCTGTTACTCAATATCGGCCTTAGTAAAAAGTTGAAAAAAGTTGCTCCGATATGGACGAAACGTTGCATACATTAGGTAGAAAACAAGTACGTTCGAAGAAAGTTAGTTGCAGTACTCTAAGTTTGCTTATTATCACAAAATAAGCCTCTACTTCTTGACCATTTATGTTAGAGAGAAACGGACTATTTTTCTGAACGTTTTAGATCGCATACTATCCACTCTCCTATTTGCAGCTTAATCAAAGACCATGAATTTTTCGAGAAAAATCGAAAGACAGCCTTCAAAAATTTTTGCAATAAAATTTTTTCGTCTTTGATTTCGCTGAAATTTGGTACAGAGAATCAGGATGAAAAACTAAATGTCGGAGTGGTGTCTGTTGTTCAATATCGGCCTTAGTTTAAAAGTAGGAAAAAGTTGCTCCGATATAGACGAAACGTTGCATACAGTAAGTAGAAAACAAGTACGTTCGAAGAAAGTTAGTTGCAGTACTCTAAGTTTGCTAATTATCACAAAATAAGCCTCTACTTTTTGACCATTTATGTTAGAGAGAAACGGACTATTTTTCTGAACGTTTTAGATCGCATACTATCCACTCTCCTATTTTCAGCTTAATAAAAGACCATGAATTTTTCGAGAAAAATCGAAAGACTATAGCCTTCAAAAATTTTTGCATAAAAATTTTTTCGTCTTCGATTTCGCTGAAATTTGGTACAAAGAATCAGGATATAAAACTAAATGTCGGAGTGGTGTCTGTTGTTCAATATCGGCCTTAGTTTAAAAGTAGGAAAAAGTTGCTCCGATATAGACGAAACGTTGCATACAGTAAGTAGAAAACAAGTACGTTCAAAGAGAGTTAGTTGCAGTACTCTAAGTTTGCTAATTATCACAAAATAAGCCTCTACTTTTTGACCATTTATGTTAGAGAGAAACGGACTATTTTTCTGAACGTTTTAGATCGCATACTATCCACTCTCCTATTTTCAGCTTAATCAAAGACCATGAATTTTTCGAGAAAAATCGAAAGACAGCCTTCAAAAATTTTTGCAATAAAATTTTTTCGTCTTTGATTTCGCTGAAATTTGGTACAGAGAATCAGGATGAAAAACTAAATGTCGGAGTGGTATCTGTTGTTCAATATCGGCCTTAGTTTAAAAGTAGGAAAAAGTTGCTCCGATATAGACGAAACGTTGCATACAGTAAGTAGAAAACAAGTACGTTCGAAGAAAGTTAGTTGCAGTACTCTAAGTTTGCTAATTATCACAAAATAAGCCTCTACTTTTTGACCATTTATGTTAGAGAGAAACGGACTATTTTTCTGAACGTTTTAGATCGCATACTATCCACTCTCCTATTTTCAGCATAATAAAAGACCATGAATTTTTCGAGAAAAATCGAAAGACTATAGCCTTCAAAAATTTTTGCAATAAAATTTTTTCGTCTTTAATTTCGCTGAAATTTGGTACAGAGAATCAGGATGAAAAACTAAATGTCGGAGTGGTGTCTGTTACTCAATATCGGCCTTAGTTCAAAAGTTGAAAAAAGTTGCTCCGATATGGACGGAACGTTGCATACATTAAGTAGAAAACAAGTACGTTCGAAGAAAGTTAGTTGCAGTACTCTAAGTTTGCTTATTATCACAAAATAAGCCTCTACTTCTTGACCATTTATGTTAGAGAGAAACGGACTATTTTTCTGAACGTTTTAGATCGCATACTATCCACTCTCCTATTTGCAGCTTAATCAAAGACCATGAATTTTTCGAGAAAAATCGAAAGACAGCCTTCAAAAATTTTTGCAATAAAATTGTTTCGTCTTTGATTTCGCTGAAATTTGGTACAGAGAATCAGGATGAAAAACTAAATGTCGGAGTGGTATCTGTTGTTCAATATCGGCCTTAGTTTAAAAGTTGAAAAAAGTTGCTCCGATATAGACGAAACGTTGCATACAGTAAGTAGAAAACAAGTACATTCGAAGAAAGTTAGTTGCAGTACTCTAAGTTTGCTAATTATCACAAAATAAGCCTCTACTTCTTGACCATTTATGTTAGAGAGAAACGGACTATTTTTCTAAAC